TCCAGTTTCTTTTTTCTATGAACATTACTGTTATGAATATTCATAAAAATATAAATCTACTGATGGTACCATGTTTTAGTTTCTCTGTGGTTTATGTACAAGAGTGGGATTGACAGAGAAAAGGGTGTATACCTTCCATACTTGAACTGACCATCACAGATTCCTCTTCAGAATAGCTGTACTAATCTATACGCCTGCCTGTAGCAGCTAAGAGTTCATATTTCCTTACAGCCCTCTTTCCAGAATTTGGTTTTATCTCATTTTCTAATATTTACAAAAATGATGGGTATAAAATAGTATTTTATGTTTCAAGTAGTATTTTTCCAATTACTGATGAAATTAAGCATCTCCTTACATGTTAGCCATTCCACTCTTATAATCACTGTTAAGAGTTTCTTATATGACCTTTAAGATATAGGTTAAGCATTTACCAGCATATTTCCATATCTATTTTTAAAAAATAAATGTACTTATCAGTGTACATTTGCCCTTTAAGTGCTGCTCTATCTGGGTCCTTCAGATTTTGACCCGTATTGTTTCTATTATCATTCAGTATTTTATATTTTAAGATTCTCTTTAACCTTAACACAATGAAGTAGTATGTTTTTTGTTTCTAGTCATGCAAGATTTTTTTCATAAAGTTAATATTTTGTTATTGATTTTATTAGTGTAATTAATTAGAGAACATAACCTGGACATATTCATTCTTTCGAATTTATGGGGACTCTATTTGTGATGAGATACCTAGTAGATTTTTGTGACTATCTTTTTTTTTTTTTTTTTTAAGTATCTCTGCACCCAAATGGGGCTTGAACTCATGACCCAAAGATCAAGAGTCACATGCTTTACCAACTATGCCAGCCAACCACCCCTTTAGGACTGTCTTGTGTATACTTGAAACTTAATGCATTCTCTGTTGAATTGTTCCCTGTGACATTCATTACTTTTGTCTGCTTGAACTAGGAGTTACTTTTTGGGTGTTTCAGAAGAGCCAACTACAGTTATTACTGATTCTTACCATAGTCCTGTCAGTTGTTGTGTGTGTTTTGAGACTGTGAGATATGTAATGAGGGAGTGTGTGGCAAGCTGAGGGCAAAATGCAGGCTAAAGCACCCCCTCTCCTACCTCAGGTGGAGTATGCGTGATATTCTGTGGACACTCCTGGCTACCCAAGAACAAAGGAAAGGGGTTAAAGGGCTTGCCATGGTAATGTGGGAAGCAAAGGCAAATGAAAAATTAAATTCCATGCTGCCTGCAGCCCATTGACAAGTCCTTGAAACCAGCAGAGTGACCTCCCTTTAGGATCCCAGCTGCCTTAAGGATGACATTTTTGCTAGGGGCAAAAGAGAATCTTAGCTTAACCTTATCTCAACCTCCAGGATCCTGTAAATCTACTTCCTTTATCTCAAGTGCCCCAAGATATATGCTGGCAATCATACTCCAAGCTTAATGCCCACCCCCCATACATCTGAAAGGTCTCATGACTACGGTTTTACTAAATGGTAATAAATGGCATTTCCCTAGCAACAGCTGGCCTCTGAAGGTCCTGGAAACCTTGCTTCCACAATACCTTAGGTACTTACTCTATACCCGACCCCCTCCCAACTTGAGGGTATATAATCATATAATCAGTAACCCATCACAACCACAGTGCAGCTCTTCTGCCCCATGGGTCCTGTCCCCATGCTTTAATAAAATCACCTTTTTGCACCAAAGATGTCCTCAAGAATTTCTTGGCTGTTGGCTCCAGACCACCCCACCATCACCCCAAAACTTCATCAATATGTATACTTCATTATTAGTATATATGATTGCTCTTCATTATTTGCAGATTCCGTTTTGCATACATGCCTCCCTGCTAAAATTTATTTGTAGTCCCAAAATCAATACACATAGTGATTTTGAGGTTCTAGTCCCTTTCATCAGGAGCTAGGAAATACATATAAGCATACTAAGCTGCACATATACCCACATTTTTATCTGTTTCTTTATCTATCTGTATATACCCTTAGAAAGGTGAGTTTTGATTTCAGTCCAAATTCACAAGATTCAGCCTAACCTTACCTCTTTCCTACTCTCATGATTTATAATATATTCACTTGTCTGTTCAATTCTAGTATACTCACAAAGTAGGTATATAGCAGCCAAATCATGCTTTGAAAACAGATTCACTAACTAGAGATACAGTATTTGTGTATATTTCTTTGTGTCTTTGCCTTGCAGTATGCAGTCAAAATGCTGTTTTCCAAAGTTACTTGGGTTCTTTTTTCCCCATATCCTCCTTTGTTGCTTTGTTTTTCATTTATAATACAATTAGGTTTATTACTTGTCTGCATTCTATTTTGGGTTTCTTTCACATGCTGGTTGATTACCTGTTTTGCAGAGGCACATGTAGAACATTACTGTTGTTGTAGAAAATCAAAGCTATCCAAAAAGGTATGCTTTGAGAAGTGTTGCACCCTGCTCATCCCCCTTAAAGTGTTCTCAGTGCTCCCTTCTTTCCACCCCTTTCCTCTGTGCCCTTTGTAGGTAACTGATGTCTCTCTCTAGTTTCTGATTTATACTTCCTGTATTTCTTCTGCACAAATGAGTAAATACATGTGGATCTCTTATATCCTTTCTTTATTACAGAAACAGTAGCATACTTTTTTGTACTTTGCTTTTTTTCACTTCACAGTATATTTTGGAAATTGCTCCAAATCTGTTTATAGAGATCTCTCTCTCTTTTTTTTCTTTCTTTTTTCTCTCTTTCTTTCTTTCTTTCTTTCTTTCTTTCTTTCTTTCTTTTACTCTTTCTTTCAGCTTCATGGTACTTTATTGTGTTTGCTCAGCCTTACATCCTATGTATAGTTATTTAGTTTGTTTCTAAAATTTTGCTATTATAAGCAACACTGCAACTTTGTGCATGTGTATTTTCTTATTGTTGGAAGTGTATCTTTAGGGTATGCTTCTAGAAGTGGTCAAAAGTTAATGAATATGTTGTTTTATCAGTTTTCGCCATATTTTTTTTTACTGTGCAAATTATTTTTATTTGTAGATAGTCAAATTTATCCATTTTTTGCCTCTGGTTTTTCGTCATTAGTACACTTTATCTTAGCCAAAAGGCCGAGAAGCTTTGGTTTTTTGTCATTAGTGGTAAAGTTTTCCCCTACACTAAAGGATAAAGAACTCACCACTTTTTCTTCTAGAACTTGTATGACTTCATTTTGATATATTTGTTTTTTGATACATTTATCTCCCTTATCCATTTGTCATTCATTATGTATTATGTGAGAAATATAGATCTAATTTTTTTGAAATGCCACTAATTGTCCCAGAGGCATTTTTGGAGAAGTCCATCATTACCCCCTGTGATTTAGGATGCTACTTTTATTATATACCAATATTGTATGTACTTGGATTAATTTCTGGACTGTTTTATTCCACTGGTATATTTATTTCTATATGTGCCAGTACTACTGTTTTGTTTTGTTTTTTTAAGATTTAGAAAAAATGTTTATTTATTTTTAGGGGCACGGGGGTGGCTCACTTGGTTGAGCATCTGACTCTTGATTTCGGCTCAGGTCAAGATCCTAGGGTCGTGGGATCGAGCTCTGCTATGGGCTCTGTGCTGAGCATGGAGCCTGCTTGGGATTTTCTCTCTCTCCCTCAGCCCCTCTCCTCAACTCGTATTCTCTCTCTCTCTCTCTCTCTCTCTCAAATAAATAAAATGAAAAAAAATTTTTTTAAATTTTTAGCTTTGAGAGAGAGAGAGAAACAAGCAGGAGAGGGGGAGGGGCAGGGCGAAAGAGGGAGGGAAGATCTGAAGTCCGGTCCATACTGACAATAGAGAGCCAGATGCTGGGGCCCAAACTCAGGAACTGAACCTCGAGATCATGACCTGAGCCAAAATCAGATGCTCAACCAACTGACCCACGCAGGTGCTCCCAATTATAGAAGCTTTACAGTATCTTTTAATATCCAGTAGGGCTAGGCCCCCCTCCCCATTATATTTTTCTTTTTCAGTGTTTTTTGTTTTTTCCTGGCTGTTTCCTGGCTGTTCTTGCATGTTTATTTTTCCACAGAAATTTTATTATCAACTTATCTAACTCCATAAAATAACTTGTTGGTATTGGAATTGCAGTGGTTTTATAAATTAGGAAGAACTGATGCTGAATCATCCTATCCAACAACAAGGAATGTTTTTCCATTTGTTTTTGCCTACTTTTGTATCTTCCAGGAGATTTTTAAATTTTTCTTGGTATTAGTTTTGCACATTTCTTACTAAATTTATTCCTGTGTGTTTAGTCTTTTTTGCTGGTATTGCAAATGGAGTTTTCTCCACCATGTGTCCTATTTATTGTTTGTGTATGTTAATTTTATATCCTGCCTTATTACTGAATTCTTTTATTTTTTGAATTAGTTTAATCATTGATTTTCCTGGAGTTTTTCAGGTATACTATCATATCATCTTCAAATAGAGTTGTTTTATTTTTTTCTTTACCCATTCTTAAGCTTTTAATCGATTTCTCTTGTCTAATTCAATTAGCCAATACCTCTAATACAGTGTTGAATAGTAGCAGAGATAGTGGATATCCTTGTCTAGTTCCTTATTTAGTGGAAATTTCTCTGGTGTTTCCTCATTAAATAAAATACAGATTTTAAGATATATGTATATATATTTATATATGGGGATATATATATATATATATATATATATATATATATATATATATATTTATATGGGGGTGGATTTGTCACAGAGCTCTAGATACTTGGAAAAACCATGGAAATAGAAATTAAGGAAAGGTATCTATCAAGTCTATTCTATGCTCTGTTGGAGTCTAGGGCAACAGCTTGTTCCTTTCAAAAAGCTGGAAGGTTTCATGTTTCAGTTTGGGAATGACAATTAGATATGCCATTACAACAAGTCATTTAAGTCATTTGAATTCACGTAAATTGTCTTTGTGCGTTGTCATGGTCACAAATAAAAATTTATCCTTACGTTTGTCTTTTTATAGTGTGTGCTGTTTTTGTGGAGTTTAAAGATTAATCATCCCAAAACAGTGTTTCTGCTTCGAGGAAATCATGAGTGCAGGCATCTTACAGAATATTTCACCTTCAAACAGGAATGTAAGTATGATCACTTTTCCAGAACCTTTTTGTTTGTTTGTTTTAAGTAAACTCTACCCCTCACAGGCTTGAACTCACAACTCTGAAATCGAAAATCCCATGTTCTACTGACTGAGCTAGCCAGGCGCCCCGTAACATTTTTAGTTACCCTTTTGTCAGTCCCAAAATGAATCGCACGGAAACCAAATAAAGAAACTAATGGAACCCAAATGGTTTCTGTTGTTTATTTTCTGATAAGAACCAAGATTCTACCTTTTAAGACATTTATTTTGAAAATATCTTTTGTGGTTTCTCCCTATTATGTAATGTAATACATTTGGGATATTTGGAAAACATAGAAAAGTCCAAAGAAGATAAAAGTTGTCCACAGTCACGCCACTTAAAAATAATAACTATTATCTCACTATTTGAGATATAGTCTTCTTTTCTGCATATATAAAAATCTATCATGAAATAGTTGAAATACATATGTATCTATACATATTTTCAAAAAAACTAGACTATTAAATGTACTGTTTAATAAATTGCTCTTTACATTTTATATAATAACTTTTTCTAATTAAATCATTAAGTACCATTAAATATCTTTGAACATGATTTTAAAATGTTATTATAATATTTTAAAAGTATTTCATCTTATTGATGCACTATCATATATGTAGCCAATTTAGTAACAGCTGTATGACATTTCTGTTGTTTCCAACTATAAATCATACTGTACTAGTAAAAAAAGCTTATTATTAAGGTAGAATTTTTTTGAAAGGCAAAACATTGCTAAACCATTTGAAAAAAAAAAAAACAAAAAAACTGGCACATTTCTTTGACCAGCAATCACAGTTGACTCTTAACATTCAGTGTGATGGTAACTAAATTGGGCTTGTTTGAGAGAACTTGCCCCAGGGCATTTGTGCTTATTGTTTCTTGTCTTCCCAGATAGCTATCTGTTTATATATAAGACCTACATCCTTACTTCATTCTTGTCATCTCCTCAGAGACTTTCTTCCCTGGTTCCTTTTTCTAAATTAAAAATCTCATCATTTTACTCTCATACCTTGTCTTTTTTTTAATGGTATCCATCAACGCCTGAATTTATATATATATATTTTTATATAAAATTTATATTCAAGGGGCATCTCGGTGGCTCAGTTGGTTAAGTGTCTGACTTCAGCTCAGGTCATGATCTTGTGGTTCACGAGTTCGAGCCCTACGTTGAGCTAGGTGCTGACAGCTCAGAGCCTGGAGCCTGCTTCGGATTCTGTGTCTCCCTCTCTCTCTATCCCTCCCTCTCTTGCACTCTGTCTCTCTGTCTCTCTCTCTCTCTCAAAAATAAATAATCATTTAAAACTTTTTTATTTAGCATTCTTTAAAAAAATTAAATTTATATTTAAAAAATATATTTATTTGTTTGTTGTTTTTCTATCCTGCCGTAAGTTAAATTCCATGATGATATGTTTTATCCACTGTTATTTTTCCAGAATAGTATCTAATAACTCATTGGAGATGTTTAAAAATAGTGGTTGAATTAATTTGTTAAATGAATGACCATCTAGGATTTGTATCTTAGCACAAATTCTCAGAAGAGAATTACTAAGTCAGAGAGCATGAACATTTTAAAAGACTTTTTGATACATACTCTAAATAGCCCTCCAAAAAGATTATATATCAGTTTATATTTTAATGAAGTTTTATATTTTTATATAAGGTGAAAAGAAAATACTGAAATAAAAACCACAAAATTTTACCTTTTCTCATTCCTAAAATTTAGTATATTCTGTATAAAATAAGGAAGCTGAACTAAATTCTTGGATATTGTCTGGCTCTAAAATCTGCTTCTTTCCTCAAATAATAATAAATATATACAAATGTTTTAATGTCATACAACCGATGGTTTGATCGGATTTCACTTTGTGTCCTATTCCAATGATTATCTTGGAGGAATCTATTATAAAATATTTAAAGTTTTATTCCCCCCAAAATATTCAAAGTTGAAAAAAACTGATCCTGGGTGACTCACTTGGTTAAATGAGCGACTCTTGATTTCAGCTCAGGTCATGATCTCATAGTTCATGCGTTTGAGCCCCACATCAGACTCCACTCAGTCGCTGTGTGGAGTCTGCTTGGCATTTTCTTTCTCTCTCCCTCTCTGCCCCTCCTGTGTACTCTCTCTTTCTCTCTCAAAATAAATAAATAAACTTAAAAAAAAAAACTTTTAAATTTATTTTCTGAGACTCAAGAGTTTATCCAATCCTTGGCCCCAAAATCCCTTTAATTGATACAACTTGGTAGTGTTTCATATGCTCATATTAACTCTTGTTACCATAGCTTCCTACACTGAAGTTGACAGTTGTAATGATGGCCTTTCTCCTAGTAGATCCTGAAAGGAAAGGTCATTCTTATTACAAAAAATTTTAGAGAATGAACACTTAAAAAAAAAAATCCTCTGACAGAACAGTCAGCTACACGTGGGCTTTTGCCCTACAGATCATTCCAGCCCTTGGGACTTATTAGAATAAACAGTTCAAATCAGTAGGTAATAACCAGGAAATTTTTTTTTAAAGTTAGATCTCTTGGTGAATGTTTAAATTGCTATAAAGTATTTGAACAGCAGTTCTGGAATTTCTGTAAAAATTTTTGACCCAGCAATTTGGCTTCTAGGAATTTATCATGCAGATTATATAGGTGTTTTGTTTTTGGTTTTGTTTTTTTTTTTTTTTGGATTGTGTAGATTTTTTAATGCTATATAACAAATTACCACAAATTTAGCTGTTTATTTATTTTTAAAGTTTATTTATTTTTAAAGCTTACTTTGAGAGAGAGAGCATGGGGGAGGAGCAGAGAGAGGGAGAGAGAGAGAGAGAGAGAGAGAGAGAGAATATCCCAAGCAAGCTCCACACTGTCAGTGCAGGGCCTGATGTGGGGCTTGAACCTTAAACTGTGAGATCATGACCTGAGCCACAGCCAAGAGTCAGATGCTTAACCGACTGAGCCACCCAGGCGCCCCAGGCTTATTTATTTTTAAATATTTATTTTGAGAGAGAGAGAGAGAGCACACATGCATACACACATATGCATGTGAGTGGGGGAGGGACAGAGAGAGAGAGGGAGAGAGAGAATCCCAAGCAGGCTTGGTACTGTCAGCACAGAGCCAGATGTGGGCTTGATCTCACTGACTGTGAGATCATGACCTGAGCGGAAACCAAGAGTTGGATGCTTAGCCAACTGAGCCACCCAGGCGCCCTTGAGAGAGAGAGAGAGAGAATTTGAATATCAATAAGGGACTGCTTAAATAAGTGATAATATGTTTTAAAAAATGGAATACTAGGCAGCTATTGAAAGATCACCGTGGGCCTAGATGTGCTCCTTTGTAAATTAAAAATACATAATGTGTAGGGGCATACACACACACACACACACACACACACACACACACGAGGAATATATATATAGAGAGAGAGAGAGAGCAGAAGAAATTGATAGTGATTATCTGTGGGGAGTTGAGTCAGCAGGACTTGTATTTTTGATTTTGTATCTTCCTTTGGTGCTGCTGGCGTTGTGCTTCATCACCACCGTGTACTACTACTGTAATAAACTTTTAAACTGGTAACTTCAAAACCACCTGGATGGGTGCCAAGCATTTAAGAGGCCTTTTAAAGACCCCAGATAATTGTCCTGCATGCAGCAGTTTAGCACACCTGCTCCAGAGGTTTGGAAAATATCTACTATTTTTCATTTGAGAACCACTTCACCAAATAGTTGAAAAATTGCAACTATTTTGTATTATTTTTCTAAGCCAAATATGGGGATATTACTCATTACACTTCTCTTTCTTTACCTGGGAAAATTAAATAATGCATATCAAGCAGTTGACAAAGGCCCTAGAATGATTAGTATTTAGCAATAGATAAGTAATAAGAAAGCTGCCTCAGGATGCCTCTGTTCTGAATTAAGGTTTAGGTTTTTTTAGGCAACATTTTATCCAGTTCTTCCTCTGTTTTATCAGAGTTCTTTTTTTGACTAGTATAAATTGGTTCAGACTATTTTTAGAAGATGGAACAATAGGTTTGGGAAACATTTTAAGTGTTCTCATTTTTTCACAGAATTTCTTATCTTCGGTTTTTATTTGCTTTTCACATGCTTTAAACCAGGTTTCTTTTCTTCTCTTACCTACAGACATACTCCTGTTTCCTTCTAATGCTACATCTGAAATGTGAATAAGTCTTGGAACAAATACACGAATATAATTTCAAATTTTGTTCTTTTTTTTTTTTTAATGTTTTATTTACTTTTGACAGAGAGAGACAGAGAGACAGAGCATGAGCGGGGGAGGGGCAGAGACAGAGGGAGACACAGAATCCGAAGCAGGCTCCAGGCTCTGAGCTGTCAGCCCAGAGCCCCATGCGGGGCTCGAACTCGTGAACCACGAGATCGTGACCTGAGCTGAAGTCGGACGCTCATCCGACTGAGCCACCCAGGCGCCCCTCAAATTTTGTTCTTATAAGCAAGGAGCATGTGTGCTGCTTTGCATGGATATTTTCAGTGATAAGCTGATCTCTCGTAAAGGGCCACCATGGCTTTTAGAATCAGCACCTTATAATTACTGCTAAGTGATGCTTAGTTCCAGATTGTGCAGCTGTAGTCTTGAGAGTATTTCTAAGGGAGTTAGAATATTTTGTAAGGGAGGAATTGTTTTTTCCTTACATCAATTCTTTAAAAAAAATTTTTTTTTAATGTTTGTTTATTTTTGAGAGAGAGAGACAGAGTGCAAGTGGGAGAGGGGCAGAGAGAAAGGGAGACACAGAATCCGAAGCAGGCTCCAGGCTCCAAGCTTTCAGCACAGAGCCCAACATGGGGCTTGAACTCACGAACCACGAGATCATGACCTGAGCTGTAGTCGAATGCTTAACCGACTGAGCCTCCCAGGTGCCCCTCTTACATCAATTTTTGAATTGCTTTATATTGCAGGGGTCTTTAAATATTCCTCTCAGGGTACCTGGGTGGCT